ATTAGCGTCTGCAGGAGCCTTTATTCCTGGGTGTAAGTACGAGAGTCAGGTGGAAACACTACCATGCAATGCAAATTTAACTCGGTGGCACCTGTGACAAATCTGAAATAAAACCACCATCAATTTATATTTAGAAATGAAGTCTTTAAGACATCTAAAGCTCTGGGAGTGATGGGACATCTAGGAACATAGACGTGACCTCCCAGTGCTTTGTCTTTTTTGAGGTCTACTGAGCCAGGCAGCTCTACCAGCTTCTCTGGGCTGGGTTTTGGAGTCCGGGCTGTTATTTTTTGTTCTAGTATGTTCGGGCTGCTTTCAGAGGACATGAGGTCCTATGAGACTTGCTGGTATGGGTTCCTGCTACACCAGTGTGACACCTCCAACTATAAAGCCTGAAGAGAGGAGCTAAGGGATCCCAGGCCCTCATCTTTAGGCCAATTTTCCTCTGGAGAGAAGACCCCAAAACTCTGTTAACATTCCTTGTGGAAGGCAATATTGCTCAGTTGACATTAGAAGATGTCATTATCTGGACTAAGGACTTTGTGTCCCAAGTAATACTAGAGTTCTTCGCAGTTGCCTTCTCTCTCCATGACCTCACCAGAGTCTCTCTCGTCTATCCATTAGCTAAAGCACAGACTGAGGCATTACTCTTAATGGTTTTTTTTTCCTTTCTTCTTTTTTCTGGATATCTTAGCAAAGTTCTTTTTATTTATCAACTTTATTGAGGTATAATTGATAGACAATAAAATGCACTCATTTAAAGCATAGAACTCAGTGAGTTTTAACAAATATATACATCAGGGCAAACCACCACCACAATGAAGGTATCGACTTTTTCCATCACCACAAAAGGTTCCCTTGTGCCCTCTGAGTCAATTCCTAATTCCCAGACAACCACTGGCCTCATTGCTATCACTACAGATAAGTGCTGCTGGTTCTAGAACTTCACAGAAATGCAATCATTCAATATGAACTCCTTTGTTTGTGGCCTCTCTCACTCAGCACAATATTTTTGGTATTCATCCATATTGTTGTATGTATTGATATTTTGTTCCTTTTCATAGCCAAGAAGTATTACATTGTATGGATAAACCATTATTTACCCATTCATCTATTGGTTGACACTTATTTCTAATTTTTGGTACCACGAATAAAACTGCTAAGAACATTTGTGTACAGATCGTCTTGGAGACATGCTTTCATTTCTCTTAGGTAATTATCTAGAGGTAGAATTGCAGTCAGTGTTTTCATTTTTTAAAATTAAAACAAAAATATATCATTGTCTAACAGATTTCAAATCACTTTATTTCCACTTGGACATTTAAAGGGAAGAGAGGGCACCATAAGTCACAGAGCAGGCCACAGCCACAAAGGGCATGTGGACTTCTTATGGGCAAGCAAAGGACAACGCCCCCTGAGGTCAGAGCTTTCTCTGAGCACAGGGAAGGGGCTCGGGACTTGCCAAGGAGTAGCTGAAAGGGTACTTAAGTGACAACTGGTCAGGCCATGGGCAGGCAGCCACGGCCTACCCTAGTGAAGCTTTATCATCTGAATAGGTGGATTGAGAGCCACGCTCTGTCCGCACCAAGCTCATGAGCCTCAAGCTATTCCAGCTTTGCAAGAAACCCTATTCTGCAACTCAACAGGGAGCTGCTGAAAATAAAGCTAAATGCAATGACATTCCTGGCAGAAATTAATGTGCAAGAAATCATCAGTATCACATGTAAGGGGTTAGGGATAGGGATAATTTCTTTAATGTTCTAGTTGTGCTTTCTCATCTGATTATAATGGTTATCCATGACTTTGGCTAGATTAAATCAGCGGTAGTCAACGAAATGCATATCAAATGTAAATAACGTCTTACTCTGTTTTCTTTCTCTGCAACTAACTCCTCACATCCCAGAGGGAATTTTCCAATTCAACATCAAAGACTGATTAAACATTTGGTGTAGAAGCTTCAAAAAAAGACTGTGTAATTTTATTTTACATATACATGCTAGATGAAAAATAAATAAAACTTCCTCTTGGTGCTAAAAGTTTGGAGTCAAATCTTCTAAAAGGCAAAGAGAATGGGGAAAATAACCACTTCAGAATTCATCAACAAATTAAAGTCTCATATCTCAAAATTTCATGATACAGCTATATGATCACTAATAATCTTGGAGTGGCCCATAAGTCCAATCAATCATCAACCCAAAGGTTATGTTTTCATAGTTCTAGGTCTCCCTTTCCAATTTAGAAAAATAAAAATTTACAGGAAGGAAATAATAAGGGGAATATTTAACGTATTTTACAAGGCATTTGGCCCAACTAAAACCACAATGTGTTTTTTGGATCTGACAGCTTATTATGGGAGACCTAAGTAGTGTTTCCTTATAGCATAAATAAGGTGGTCAAAGGAGTAGATCTGACCATTTCCAGTTTGGCTGGTAAATCAATTTCTGGTCTACCATATTGAAACCCCCTTGACAAAAGACAAAGGAGGACATCAGCGTGAGTCTCCTGGTAGCAGGTGCAACCTGTGGTCAGGGCTAGCTTAGGAGTAATTTGACTACTACAGTTCACAAAAATTAGCAAGAGTCCCACAAAGACTCTGCCTTTTGAAAGTCCAACTCATTTGTCTGCTTCTTGAGAATCTATTGCTCCTACCCACACCCTCCAAATGCATACGCTTTGGGGAAAATGGAAAGGGTAATCCTCTAGAAAGCAGGCACTTTTGAGTTCTTGAGCAAATTACATAATGTCATTGGTTTCTCATTACGAAATAAGTAGTAAGTACTTTTCTACTTGAGACCCAGAGGCTAGGCCCAGACCTTTTTTTTTTTAATATTTTTTCCCTTTATTTTTAACAGGACCTGCCTGTTCGGTTCAGCAGGAATCAAGAAACATTTACTCAATGCCTAATTGCAATAGCTAACATCTATTTTTTTATATATTTGTTTATTTGAAAAAGAGAGCACAAGCAGTGGGGAGCGGCAGAGGGAGAGGGAGAAAAAGACTCCCTGCTGACCTGGGAGCCTGAAGCAATGTGGGGCTCAATCCCAGGACCCTGAGATCATGACCTGAGCTGAAATCAAGAGTCGAAAGCTTAACCTACTGAGCTACCCAGGTGCCCCAATTGCTGACATATATTAAGTAGCTACTCCATGTCAGGCATTGGTGATAAGCCATGTTACCCACTGTCTCAGGGAGTTCCTTCCAACCATCCTAGGAACCAGGTCCTAGCATGATGCCACATTAAAATGAAGATACTGAGAAATGAAGAAACCCACTCATGGGCCCAGACCTCTTGATCCTAGACCACCCACTCAATATCCTGTTCTGGGGCTTCCTCTTTGTACACAGGGATGGCTCTGCCTTACAGCAAGGCACAAGTCATCCATATCAAGTGCTACCCAATGGCCTAACTCTCAGTTTTATATTTTTGGAAAGAAAGGCCCATGGGATATTTCTGTGCTTCTAAGTTTTTTTACCTTTGGAAAATAACAATATATTAAAGAAATACCTAAAAAGGCTCTAAGATGCAAATCCATCTGATATACATATTTGTTTGTCAATAACACCTGTTACCAGATGGCTTCCACAACACCATTTTAAAAGTTGGCAAATGCCAACCTAAAGAGCTTCAGGTGCTAGTTTCCTTACAGGTGAAGGAGGCAGGACAAGTTCTAAAAGCTCTGTCAGGAAGACATCAAATGCAAATTCAGGCTGAGATGACCAGTCAATCCTAATTTCACTACCTTCACTCTCAGTTTGCAAAGAGAACTCAACTACTGACCAAGAGAGTTGTTACACCATTGTGCAGCCATGAGGACACACCTCAAAGACCACCTACTACAAAGAGCATAATTGGTCAAGGGCCCCAGGGCTGTGTTCTGGAATCCATCCCTGTATTCTCTCAGAGGCTCCTACCACTGCTAAAGTACAGCAGGGATACTAAGGCAAGCCCCCCTGATGGCTGACTTTGCTTAAAGACTTCCTGATGTCTTGGTTGCCTCTGTTTGCCTAGCCGACTAGTATGCATCCACCAAACCTCTCTCTTTTCATTTGGAACATGACTTGAACCATGGTCCAATGGTTCAGCCTTTTCCAGCTCCTTTCCTAATGCCTTTTATGCAGACATTTTCCCTAATAATATCCTTGCACTTTTGTTCCCATCTTGACATCTGCTTCTCAGAGGGCCAGACTAACATATCATTCATTCATTTATTCAAGATATATTTATTGAGTGCCTACACTATTCCTGGCACTTTGTCCTAGGCACTGGGGAGGGTGGTACAAGCCTCAGATGGCCCCCATGGTCATAACCCTCCCTCCTGGGGTCATAAACTGCTTCCCTTTCTTTGGCTTTTACTGTGTGTTGGGCACTGAGGCAAGAGCACATCACATGCCTACTCTCATTTGCTTTTCACAACTCCTAAAGGAGCTACTATTCTTGTTTCGTGGATAAGGAAACTGAGATCTACAAAGATGAAGCTGCCCCCTCATAGGGGCAGCTTTTGACTCCAAAATTCATGTTTTCAACCATTAAGCTATGCTCTCTCTCTCCCATTTGAGTCACAGCTCTGAGCACTTCGCTTCTGGCAATGATTGCACATCCATATGGTTGATTTTCCAAAGCCTGACTTCATTTATTCACTTTAAATTTATGAAGGCCAGGGAAATCACTTCTAGAAGAGGGAAACAGTACTTCAGAGCATTCACAGTCCTACACTATTCCAGAGTCAGTTAATGATGATATTGTTTAACTCATGTAGAAGAGGTTTCTTACCTGGTGTGAGTTTCTAACTCATCTTCATCTATTACAAAGAAGATAGAAGAGAATAGACAAATCCCTTGGCTTCTCTGCTTTTTATCCTGGTCCCAGCTCAGCTCTGGCAAACTGATGGAAGGTGGTTACATCCATCCAAGGCTTTTCTCAGAGGCCAGCCAGGCCTACTAGAGGGTCAGCCACACCAACCCATGTGCCAACCCTTCCGAATACTGACGCAAACTCATACCATGATCTCCAAGGTCAGTCATACCATGATCTTCTATACTTGACTCAAGTGGGTCAAGGTCCAAAGAAGGACTGGGCTGAGACTCAGGCAGGTTCTCTGAAGTCAGGTCATCAAATTCCTTGTGGAAGGTAATTAACAGTTTATGAGAAGCTGATAGAAGGAAACAGGATTACCACAAATGAAACTATTGTTTAGAAGACTATTTGGAAATAAAAATCTGTCAAATCTCTCCCTTAAACATGATACCACTTTCAAATTTCAGAAAGGCAGCCTGGGAGAAGAGAAGCAGCCTTGAACCAACTCAGCAGGTGACCTGAACCTTCCATGGCATCCGTTTCAGGGCCATGACTAGGGTGGGGCAGGAGGAATGCCCAGGTGCACAATGAAGGAGGTATTCACTTTCCAGCTCATGCAAGAGCAGGAGTGATCTGCAGTTAAGAACAAATACCCCCTGTAATTCTGCATCCAGGGTCCCACACCCACCTCCCCCTAGTCCAGCCCTGCTCGGTTCCTCATCTCAGAAGTGGAGCTGTTGGCCTGGATGACTTCCAAGTTCTCATCTAGCTTTAACAGTGCTGTGATTCTGCTCCAGTGCTCCAGCTTCCTAAAGAAAGAGATCTACGAGGACACATGAAAGAACCCACACTTCAAATAAAAGCAAAAGTTAAATTTCTCAAATATATCAGTAGGTATTTCAAAAGATCATTTTGTTTTTTTCTGTTGTGTGTGTGTGTGTGTTTGCAACCTAGAGCTAATGCCAAACTGACCTATTTTCCTTGATAAGTGGTTTTCATGGAGAACTACACCAAGAGGGTCTTCTTATTAAAAACAGAAGGGAAAGCTCAAACTCATCTTAATGAATAAGTGAAATAAAGCCATGCCACACTGTGGTACATAACAGCATTTGTGAAAATACAGTCATCAAATATTTTTTAAGAAGTCCAGTTTTTGCACTGTATAATTGCTGTAGGTGAAATTGGTTTCAAATTTCAAAGGATCACTGACAGCGCACAGGCAACTTTAAGAACAAAGAAGAGATTGCATGAAGTGTGTTTTCACTTCTACTTCAGAAATTATTGGAAAATAAGAATTTGGACCTTCAATTGGCTTTGATTTGCTGAGGTTCTCTTTGAAGAGAACAGATAGAATTGTTATAATTGCTTTTCTTAGAAAGGATTTGCTCTGATCTTTGATCCCCTTTACTATTTCATATATGGAGACCTGATCAGTTACACACTTCTCATAGAAACCCAGTTTTGGTACCATCACAACTACAAGTGCCACAAGATAAAAGAAAGACCGGGCTTATCGAGTGTATTATGGATTCTAGTTGTTTTAAAGCTACCACCCTTTAAGGAAATGGTGCCTAACATGATTCCACGTTCAACCAGGTGGTGATTTCAAAGCCAGATTTCAAAGCCCAAATTCAGCCAAGCAGAAAATGCCTGCCAAAATAAAAGGCCCTGTTAGTTAGGATCTGGTAAAACAAGCCATTCTAAAGGCCTCAAAGAATTTTTATAACATGTTTAAGAAATGACAGAGCCAGCCCATTTTCTCCCCTAACTCTGATTTTATCTCATACAACTGCTTTTGAAATATAAAGCATTTTGCATCAGCTGGCAAGAGAGAAGGAGTAAGAACCAGAGAACCGAGCCCCAGCGAAATCAGGAAGAAATTAAATCATAAATATGTGTATGACCAGAGATAGGAGCCTTTTCCTCTTTCTTCCTTTACTCCTCTTCACGTTTTTCTTTAGCTTCTTGCATCTGATTAATCCAATTTCTTTCTTACATTTTATTTCCTCTTTTCCAGCTCACTGATGCCTTTTCTTGAGATGTTTAAAACCCTTCAGTCCCTCCACAAAGTGTCTGGCTTCCCTTTGTTCTTTGAATATCATTAAACCTGCCTCATTCTGTGCCTGTGAATATGATTAACCGTGTCTCTTCCCTGCCTAGCCTCCTCTCTTCATCCTTCTCCTGCGGCGAACAAGAAAGCCCAGGTCACTTTTCCTTTACTTCCATTCCCATGAAATGCTTTTTTCCTAAAGAGTCTATAAGAAAGTCTGTTAATCGGTGGCTTTTCCAGGTCTTACTACATCTGAAGGTGAATGGCTTTCAAGAGCCTCAATTCCTGTCCATTATTAATCAGAGTGTGGTCCTGGATAAGCAGCCTCAGAATCACCAGGGAGCTTGTTAAAAATTCAGCATCCCAAGCCCCACCCCAGACCAGCCAAATCAGAATCTGCCTTTTAACAAAACCAATAGGTGATTTGGGTGAATTTTGAAGTTTGACAAGCATTGCTGTAAGCTATAAGAAGAATTTAGAGAAGAGCCAGTCGATTGTGGACCTGTGAGGTCAAAGAGGATTTTCCTAAAGAGAAAGTGACATTTGAAAGTGAGAAGGTGGGATGCTAATGAGGGGCCAGATGGAAATGGCTGATATAATTGCATAAAACAGGGCAAGATACCTGGGGGGGATTGGAGGGATTGCTGAGCAACCCTGTCTGCAAGACTGAACCAGCTAGAGGATATCATCTGCAAGAGCCAAGCATTTCCATTCACCAGGTTCTATGAGTGGGAATGATTCCATCTTCCATGTCTCTGGGACCCACAACAGATCCCACAGCTGGCTTTACTTAACGGGGTGGGAGATGAGGAGAGAGGGGGGCAAGTGGGATTGAGCACATGTCACCAGTGTCCCCACATTATCTGCTAAAGGGTCCAAGAAAGAGATACTCTTAAGGTCAGAGAAGGTGGGACCCCTCCATCTCGTCCAACTTTGGTTTTTCAGAAATCGACAACACTCACAACCACTAAATAATTGAGAAAGGTGGGTTACCTCTCAGATGGAGGCAGAAAACAAGTGACCCTAAGCTCTGCCTGGCTGAAAGTGAGCTTTGCTGGGGGCTCCTGCAATGCCCCAGGGTTTGGAGCTCTCTGTTCACTGAGCTATAGCAGAATGAGTGTCCCCAGACTTCAGAGATCAGCCCGACAGCCTCAGGGGGGCTTGGCTCTTCCTGCCAAAGAAAAAGAATCTCCTTCAGATACAGAGATCCCCAGTGAATGAACAACCAGAATTTGAGACCTAAAGTTCTCCATAAAAATTACTCCTTCCCATGTTGCTTTTACCAGAAGAGCTAGGAAGTTGGGGTTGATGTCTATTGTCCAAATATGATCCTGAAGAAAGACTTCCTTAAGTATCAGAGCCTACACCATGGCTCATGAAGATGTTTTTAACTATTAGAGAAAATGGTATTTGCTACTGAGGGGCTTGGAATGCTGAGGATATGATTCAGGGTCCATTTCATGTGACTCTGCAACCCTATTTATTATTGGACATCCAAGGTAATTATTCAAAGTTCAAAAGGGGTTATTAACACAATGCACAATGATATAGATGGGAGACAGAAAATAAAAAGGGAAAGAACAAAAAATAAGACAGAAAGAGAACAATGGATTAAGAGGTAATGCAAAAATAGCACAGCTGAAATTCAAAATTAGATATACACACATTTGTTCTGCAAAGTCATAATTTTACTCATCAATTGTTCATTCCATGCTGATTGAGTTTTCTTGTACACAGTAGGCACTTGATGTTTTTGGATCAATGTATTGATCCATCTCTAAGTACAGGTGCTCTGAATTAGTGTCATCACTAACCATTGGCCTATATGCTAAAATGAACCCCAGTACCTCCACCCTAAATCAGGCAAAATTGGTCTGGATGCTCTTTTTCCCCCTATGTCCCTTTTCCTACCTGACTGGCCACATGAATGCGATGAATCTAAGCAATTAAAGGTCTGATGTAACATTTAAAACAAGAGAGCACTTACATGGAGTATATCAACAGTTAGCTGCTCAGAGTTTCGAGATCTCAACTCTTGCATTCTTTTGTTATTTTCTTCATATTTTTCTTCTGCAAGCTTCCTGCAAATTTAAAGTGAGTGTAGAAAACAGCTGCATTTTGCTAAAGCCATATCTATATTATGCAGGTAAGTGTGATCCCTGTTTCAACAGGCAAACTGGGGTGTTGAGAAGCCAGGCCAACGGGTCTCTCCCTCATCAAGGTAAATGCGGTGTAGCACTCACTGGATTTTCTTTTAAAGCACACATGATGATGCTCTGGCTCCTTATCCATCCTTAGGATCCCTAAAATGCATCACTCAAATTCAAAATTAGATATACACACATTTGTCATATGGCAACTTCAAGAATAAAGTTATTTAGGTTTTATAAAACAAAATATTAGCATGTCTGTACTTCTCAATTTCTAATTTCTGGGGATAACATTTCTTAGAAGCAGGGGTCCCTGAACATTCCAGAAAAAAATCCCAGTTTCTATCAGGTGATTACACTAGGGGTTGACACATATTAAAAACACAGAATTCTTATCATGTCAGATTCCTCGTGAGGATCTGTGGGACTCTGAGGCAAAAGAAGGCAGTCTGGACCCCTGCACATTCTCTGTGATGGCAAGGGTGTGTGTCACCAACACCCAGACCACGCTCAACACGTACTAATAACTCAATTACTGCTCTCAGGATGAATAAACCCACAAACAAGGAGAAGAGAGCTAGATTTCAAAAAATTTACTGAAAGAACTTGAGAGCCACTGTGAAGGGGAATTTTTCTCCAACACATTTTGTTTTGTCTAGTATAGAAGAGGTAAATGTCATAGACTTGCTACTAAACCGGAAGAAAGATTTGAGTTCTTGTGATTACTTGTGTGCTGATTTAGATTTAGATTTTTTGAAAAGTCACTGAATATCCCTGAAGTCAAATTTTGTTTATAAAGTGGGTACATTACATCCCTTCTGACAATAGAGTCGTTTTCTAGCTAAAACACACGACTGTGCTCAAATTCTAGAAATAATGATCAAAAACAATTCCAAAGCAATTCATTCATAAAATTAAGACCAAACTTTATTTATAACCATTGCCTTTAAATAATAAACACATTGAAGGTCATATGGAAGATCTATGACTTTCTTTGTGTATAAAAAACAGTTTTAATCTGAAATACAATTTGTAATGTGCATGTAAGTTATTAAATTGCCTTTTTGATTTGTTCCTGTCAGATTTAATTTTCCTTTTAAACCCTCAATGACAAGAGTCATGGTACCCCAGAAATACTGCTATTCCTGAGGCCTCAGAAATAGATCCAGGACTGTTAGTTGATACAATGGCTCAAGCAATTTATGTAAATATATTTTCTCAGTCAAACCCACACTGAGTGGTGCAGTGGTTTGCAGAAACCAGCTTGTACTTGTTCCCAAGAGCAGACTGTGTACATATCTTCTAACTGAACATTCGATGATATCACATTGGTAGCTTGAAATTGGCCATTGCGGGAACATTTACACCCTCCAGCCCCACAACCCCAGAGGTGGTGGTTGTTAAACATTTACCAGCACACGACTGCCCATGGTGCACTTTGACAGAAATCTTTTTCCACATTGATTACAGAAAGCATGTGTTAAAGGGAAAAGAAGTAGTCTCACAGATTCTTACTTGGTTCCAAATGGTATGTACTGTAAGTGCAAGAATACCTCCAAATTCTTTTTCAGATACGTTACCAAGGTCACAAAATGAACAGATTTGAGTTTCAGGTCTTTTCTGTCTCTCTAGTTCTTAGTTGGGGCTTCTAAGCTACCAAAAAGTTGGCAGAGAAAGAAAGAAGAAAAATTAGGAGACTGGATAACCTACCAACTGAAAAATCTGTCTTCGAGAAACTGGGAGTCTAGGGCTCTTTGGAATCTCCCCTTTTCCTGTAAATACTTGAATTACCAGCAGGGTTGCCCAGAGCAAAGGGCTTCACTTGACAGAGCAGAGCTGCTTCCAGTCTGCTTTCTAAAGCCCACAATTTCCTGCCGGTACATTCTTCTCGCTATAGACCAGCTAGGTCTCCTGGCAGAGGGGGTACAGCAAACATCTGGGGAATGAGGACCCATAGTGAAGCCACTCTTTTCACCCTCTCACTGGGGTATATACAGGTTGTGTCAGCAGTAACAAGGCTTCATTTGGAGGCTGACTCTATGTTTTCATCATTAAAAACCTCCCTGACATTCAATCTTTCTTTGCACACAAGACTGAAGGCCTGACATTAATAGTGGCCGGCATCCGATAACCATCTATGGGGACGAGTGAGTGAAGAAACAAAGAAATATATAATGCATATGTGCATTTTGCTTTCTTGTTATTGCTTCTGCTTTTCTCCAGTCAATTTCTTCAGAGCCCTGGGCAGTGGCCAGAGCGCAGGTTACCTTAAGGAAAGACAGCTTACTTCAGCTTCTGGCCTTTCTCATCAGCTGCCTGGAGCTTCCTCAGCCGCATCCTTTCTCTTGGTGTCATTTTCTGCACTTCAGACAGCGCCCGCAGAGTCTGCAGGTGGATCTTTTTTTGCCTATAAATAAGAAAGATCCCCCGCATGCAACTCATCCCAAACATGCTCAGAAAAATTAAACAAATATTTTACAGAAGTATCATTACACTACTGAGAAGGGGAAAGCATCTCGAGACAGACCAGGCAAAAACTAATAAACTCAGGGTAGGTAATGAGCCAACCAGGACTGTGGTTAATTGGCAATATTTTTCAAATTAGACTTTTGTTTAAAAACAAATTATGTGCTTTCCAAATTTCTGCTCATTTCATGGCCTATGACTGGTTTTCATAATGTAAGACAAATTAGGATCTTGGCCATCAAGGAGTAAATGGACTGGCAGACTAATTCAACCCTGTGGATAGGATTTAATCTTTGGAATCAGGCAGGGTTTGAACCCCATCTCTACCACGCATTAGCTCTGTAGCCTTGGGCAAGTTACTGAACCTCTCTGAAGCTCCATTTTCTCATCTGTAAAGAATAGGCTTTAGTATTATATGAAACAATGTATGTACAGTGTCTGACACATCAAAGTAACCCAAACGGTAGTCTTGTAATAGTTAAATTTTGTTGAATATGTTGTATATTCTATGCTTCATACAGCAGGTAAGCATGGCACAGTGGTTATCACACAGGTTAATAACATTGTCTGGGTTTGAACCCTAGCTCCCAGGTTACATGTATATGTCCTTGGGCAAGTTATTTAAGCTCCCTATGATCATTAAAATAATAATAATAGATAATAATAGTACGTAATTCATAGGGTTCTTGTGAGTTTAAATGAGTTAATTCATGTAAAGTGCTTATAACGGTGCCAAGCACCCCACAGGATATTAGTTAAAATTGTTATTTAAGAGCCTCTTTCTTGGGGCTCCTGGGTGGCTCAGTTGTTAAGCGTCTGCCTTCGGCTCAGGTCATGATCCCAGGGTCCTGGGATCAAGCCCCGCATTGGGCTCCCTGCTCAGCAGGAAGCCTGCTTCTCCCTCTGCCACTGCCCCTCCTTGTGTTCCCTCCCTCACTGTCTCTCAAAAAATAAAATATTTTTAAAAAATTAAAAAAAATAAAAGAGGCTCTTTCTTCAGTTAAAGAAACGTGCTTACATTACTCATGTATTGAAAGGTCTGCAACCATATCCCCAATGATACTTGTTTCTGTGCTTGACTTGGTTAGGGCCAATATTGCAGAATGCCTTTTGCACTCAGCTCACTCCTTACAAAATACTAGGAGAAGTCTCCATTTCATTTCATTCCCACTCTAATCTTTATTATTTTGTAATAATTGTGTAATTGTAATGACCATTTGTAGCAGCTCTCATCCCTCTGGAATACAGTCCACAGCCTCTAGGGGACACATGATTTTCTGGAATATACACCCCTTATTCTGTAAGATCAAATAGAGCTCCTTGAAACACAGTCACAGTTCATGGGGGAAAAAAAAAACAGTGACAATTTGAAATCAATATTTCATAATGTGGAAGACCATACAAGCGATCAGATCCTGGCACACTTTTAACTGTAAGCACTGTCAGGTAAATGGAATCACAACCGCAGTACAAAATGATAGCTAAGATTAGCCTAGTATTTTCCTACTCTCACATCTCAGTTTAAATAAAATAAAATTGGAATTCCAGGCATCTTGAAAGAATAAGTAGCAACCTAAGGAGATTAGGTTATAGGAGCATGCCTCAAACATTAGTCCCTGAGGTGCAGGGTATTTTAACTGGAGATCATGTATTAAACGAAGACTGAGTACCTTTGATGAACCAGTTTCCTCAGTTTGAATGTGAAATTGGAAAACAAACATAGTTCACTTGAGAAACCACTGGACTGGGTTTCAGAGAAGCATATTGTTATTTGGCCTTGAAGATTAGGCTAACGAGGGCTACTGTTCTCACCTACTGCCTTGCACAGCTCTGGGGAGGGACTGCCATTCTCATAGGGTCCTCATAAAATTACATAGAGAGTTCCTCAGCAAAATTACAGATTTGGTCTTTATATAACCTCTTGAGTTGTGCAGTCCACAGCCTGCACAGCTATACATGGCTGTTCTGAAGTCACCTAGTATTCTAGGCTCTTGTATGTTATAGCACAGGAATTTTGAATGAGATAGGAGAGAGAAGTTACGTCAAGAAATAATTATGTTTGTGAAAAAGACATTCTCGACTTCATATGTATATCTCAAGGAAGTAAATTTGGGCTACTTTCCATTGTCCTAGGACTTCACAGTGTTGTCTTCTCAATAGATACTCTGCCAGTTCCTGTTAAACAAACAACATGTGAAAACTATCTATGCTTAATATGGAAGGTTCATTAGCATAACTATCACTAAATGTTTGAGATATTAATTTCTCTACATACTTACAAGGCAACTGCAGAGCTACCCTGCAGATCTGTAAGGTGTGCAGTGGTTAAAACTTTTATAATTTCAATTTACTACCACCTGGGGCAAAGGGGCTTTGCTGAAGCTCCTTAATTTCTTGGCAAGACTTAAGTGAATTCTAGAAAACCCTGTGCAGTCAGCTTAGCACTAATAGATTTTTAAAGACAAATGCATTTAAGATTATGCTCAATGGGCTTTTTAAAAACAAAGCAATTACTTACATGGCATTAATTATCTGAGCAGCCTCCTTCTGACAATTCAAATTCTTGTCTTTCAGAGTCATTTCTGAGTATCTACACAACAGGTGCTGAAAAAAAGAACAACCCTGATGCACTTTAAATACTCCTCTTCAGGGATGAAAGGGCAGCCGACTACCAGGGGCCTTTTCTGATGTGCAGTGTTACTGACCATGCCTGGGAGCTTGAAAACAAAACCCACTGGTAACCACTTTTCCTTCGAAAAGGGGTTACAAAAAATTGCACGGTAGCTTATGCAGCAAGGTCGTGGGGGGTCAGGCTCCTGCCCGCTTCTCCAATTTCATCTGGCACTCTCTGCCTGTTCTCTCACTCCCTGCTACCCACCACAGGCAGGCCTCCCCTCAGCTCCAAGAACAAACAAGCTCTTCCCAGTCTCTGCCAGTATTGGACAGTGTCCCCACTCCCAGAGCCAGGACTGCTCTGGGACAAGTGAGGCACTCGCCTCAGGTGCAAAACTGAAGGGGCACCAAAAGACTCAGTTAACCAAGGTAAGTCATATTTTAAAGTAATATTATTTAAAAAAAACAACCCATGGAGAATATAATATGAAATGTTTGAATCTTGCCATTTGCAATAACATGGATGGATCTAGAAGATATAATGCTAGGTGAAATCAGTCAGTCAGAGGAAGACAAATACCATGTGATCTCATTCATATGTGGAATTTAAGAAACAAAACAAATGGACAAATGAAAACAGAGACAAACAAAAAACCGACTCTTAAATATAGAGAACAAATTGGTGGTTGCCAGGCGGGTGAGGGGATGGGTGAAATAGGGGAAGGGAATTAAGACTATACTTACGATGAGCACTGAGTCATGTATAGAATTGGTGAACCACCTTAGTGTACACCTGAAACTAACATAACTGTTAACTGTATTTTAATTATACTGGAATTAAAAAAAAGAAAATAAATAAAAGTTTAAATAAAGACAAGATCCAACCCTGAACCTGCACCATTTTACCTCACTTCCATCACCCTAATCCTAGCCCTGTTGGATGCTGTCTGTGAACTTTTGATATTTTGTTACCATGGATTTTTAGCATTAATTTGGACTTTTCTAAACATTGCAATAAAATGTTATTTATCCAGATTACTGAGTTTTCAGTGTCCTCTCTAATTTTGTCCCAGAGCAAATGCCTCACTTGCCTCACCCTTTTCCCATCAGATCTCCTTGGATTCCTTTTAACTTTTTTTTGGTCTGCTCATAGCCCCCTCAGTGTGGTTTTGATCCCAACAGTTAGCACCTGTGCCTTTTTTTCAGAGGCCTGCCCTTGGGCTAGTGGAGCTGGCTATGCGTCGGGGAAGCTACACACAGGGAGAACTCAAAGTACCAGGGAGCTTCTGGCCTCCTCCCCTCCAGTACTGCTTATTACCCTACTTCTTTAGGGGCTCCTCCAGAGCGCACATTCTTGCCTAAGAACCCTCCCCTCTATGTCTCCATCTAGAAACATAACCTGATCTGGGGCTTTGTCTCAGCTAATTCCCTGTGGTTCCAACCCTCTCTCAGGCTCTTTACATGTCTGGCTGCTTCTCACCATCTCACTGGTAGAGAACCATCACCTACTCTTTCTTTGACCACAAAGACCATTATTCCCTTCCCTTATTTTACAGCATCCTGTGAGCTTTCTTCCTAGTGCTCCTGATAATGTATAATTACTCTTTCTTGGGTACTAGGTCCTCTTACTAGCAGTCAAGTTGCAAAAGGACGGGAGCCATGGCTGTTCCTATCCTTTCAGCACCTCCGGCATCAGCACTGTGCTCAGCAGTCAACTGATGCAGACACATCAAGTCAGCATCCTTGTTCCTGCCAACTTAGAACTGGACGTGGACGAAAAAGTGTGCCCATCTTTGAAGGTGAATGACTGCTTTGTGGGTCCCCTTAAAACTAGTCATAAAACTCAAGGAAATTTGCCTGAGGTATTTGTAAAAGCCTAAGTTAAAAAAACAAAACAAAAAATCCTCTAAGAAGGTACCGTTTGCTTTTTTCTTACCACCAGCAATAGATTCTCTGCATCAAAATTTCTAATCTACGGGAAAACAAACTCACCTAATCAATAAAAAGTATGATTAAGATATATAAGAAAGGAGTGGCATAATAAAGGCTCAGCGAAAACCCCAGATTTTAGCATTATTAGTGGTATGTTCTTGTCCTAGCAGGGATGTATGTACAAAGTATTGAGGTAAGATTTGTAAGCCAAGAGCTCTAAGGGCGGATGTTGAGTTTAGGCAGAATATTACAACCCTAACTTCTCATATCTGGGGCTTCAGGGAACTGGAGTTAACACACCTTCTTTTGCAAAGAGATTGTTCAACTAATAATTTCCTTCAGCTTTAAAAAAAAAAAATCTTGTTTCTCTCTTTTCTGACTGATTCTTAATGCATCTTATTCCCACAGGCTATCTTCAAGTCCTCGAATGTATATAAATGCTAATACATGTTTCCCAGTATCCCTTTCATTTGAAATACCTGTAGTTGTTCATCAATGTAAGGGATTTTTAAAATTTCCATTGCAGAAGGTCTCAGTGAAGGACTCTTGTTCAACATGCTGTAATGTTTAAGAAGAAAATTATTTTTCAAATGAACTAAAACATAAGTACAATTTAAAATTGCTCCTGTGACAATATATTTCTTTCCATACCGTTCCATGATGGCATTCAGTTCTCTTGGATATCTCTTGGGGAGAGAAGGTGTGTCACCTTCAACAATTTTTAAAACAATGGACAAGAAATTGGAGCCAGTGAATGCATGATTCATGCAGCACATCTCATATAAAATGCATGCCAGAGACCTAAAGACAAAATCAAAGAATTTAAATATGTCCTATTTTAAATTTGATCACCATACAAAACCTCAGATGTGTCATGCATTGCTTGTGAGACACTAACATACCCTTTGACTGTTTGTTTAAAAGCTTCAGTTCTGTACTTTCGTTTCCATTTAAAAATATGTTTAATAAATAAAGAGGGAAAAATGAAAAAAAAAACCCTACAAAAATGTAAGTCTGAATGACCACTTTTTGTCAGAGGAGAAACAAAACAACAGGAGTATGTCTGCATACAGGAGGGCAAATAAACATTTGATCAATGTAGTAAGGAACCTCTATGAAAGAAAAATAAAATACAGCTAAATATCTTTCTAAGGCAGTTTTGTTAATACTATATATGCAAACTAAAATTTTAATTTATCAGCCTAACCTTCCCTCAAATGTGTATCCAAGCATTTTGAAAAGGAAACTGGCATTCTGTATTAGTTTTCTGAATAGAATCCATTTGCAAGTAGGGTGGAAAAGCAGCTACTTGTAGCTCACATTAAAATGTATAATTCTCCCTTTGAGCATATGAAACAGAATATTAAAATTCTAGATCAGTCCAACACTGATTTGGATTAACCATGCAAATCAGTAACCTCCAAACCAGCAGAATAATCTTTTAAATAACTCAGCATCATTAAGAAAAGTAAGGGGGAAATTCCTGCCTAAACTTAGTATACTAAGAAAGAACTGTACTTCCCCTAAATTAATGGATTATTTTTAGTATTATGAGGATTTTGAATTGTGTAACCAGCCAGGTCTCCCTTTTCATGTCAGTTGCTTGAAAAATCAAAAATAAACTTACAACCAATCTTGTGTAAGTTCTGTTACCGTCTAACACCGTCCTACTTTCTTATAAAAGGCAGGGCATGTATAAATAAACATATACATGAATACTATCATTTTAACCATTTTGTGGGTATCATAAAAATGTGCACTGGTAAGAGAATTCTGGATATACACTGAATACAAAGAGATGTTTTTGTTTCAGTAAATAACAATGACACTAAAAAATTCTAACTAATTGGTACTTCACATATTGCAAAGCACTTCCATACATAACTCAACAGAACATCATAATTTCCAGTGGCATATAGCTACTATATTTTTCCCATTTTATACATGAGGAAACTGGCTCAAAGAAGTTAAATGGCTTGATCAAGATCACAAGGTATTTTTCCTTCCAAATTCTGGACTATTTTCAATACAGAATGCTAGAAAGAAAGGGAATGTTAGGAGAAACCCCATGAGTGACTAAAACACCAAGACCAATGTAAATATTATAAATTATGAAAATTATTTAAAGCTCAATAAATTTTGTACCCATCTGTAAGACTATTAATATGATGACTATTAAAATGATGTAGCACTTCTTTAGATTTCTATACCAGAAAAAGTTTCCTTCAATAAATGTGAAATAAAGACATTTTTAGACAAGCAAAAATTGAGAGAATTCATTGCCAGCAGGATAGCACTAAAAACAACCCTAAGACAGAATTCTTCTACTTGAAGAAAAATGAAGGCAGAAACAAGGAATGCAGGGAGGAATAAAGAACACTATAAAGAGTAATTCTGTAACTATGTATAAGCCAATATTAACTCTATAAAATGATACTAACAATATATTGTGGAGTTTAAAAATTATGTAGAATATAATTTTGTGGCAAAAATAATGTGAAAGACATAAGAGGGTAAATGGAGTTAAAGTATTTAAGGTCCTAGCATTACTGGGAAAGTGGTAAAAGTAGTAACTTTCCTTAAACTAAGTTTCAGGGGTGCCTGGGTGGCTCAGTCGTTAAGCATCTGCCTACAGCTCAGGTCATGGTCCCAGGGTCCTGGGATCGAGCCCCGCATCAGGCTCCCTGCTTCACGGGAAGCCTGCTTCTCCTTCTCCCACTCCCCCTGCTTGTGTTCCCTCTCTTGCTGTGTCTCTTTCTGTCAAATAAATAAATAAAATCTTTAAAAAAAAATGTTTCATTATACTAAGGCAACGATGTATGTTATAATTGCTATGGTTTTCACCAAAAGAACAGTAAAATAATGTATATTGACAAGTTCATAACTAGTAAGTTACTAGAGGGAAAAGAATCATAAAAATTTAAAATAAAAGCAAGAAAGGAGAGAAAAAGAAACAACAAATGGTATATATAGAAGACAAATCATAAGATGACAAATAAAAATACAAATATAGAGTAATTATTTTAAATGTAAATGGACAATATTTCAATTAAAAGACTATCAGATTGGGTCAAAAATTATATCCTGCTCATAAAACAAACCTTAAATATAAGAACACAGAGCAGTTTATAGAAAGAGGTATACCGTGCAAATATTTACCAAAATATTGCTGGTGTAGCTATACTAGCATCAGACAAAATAGACTCAAAGGCAAGAACCACTACTAAGAGTAAAGTGGTAGGCTGATAAAGAAATTAAACCATGAGGAACATATAACAATTCTAAAATCCAATAACTGTGGGTATGTTTGTGTGTGTGTGTGTGTGTATGTGTATAAAGCAAAAATTGACAGAATTAAAAGAAAAATAGACAAATTCACAGTCATAATGAAAAACTTTAACATATCTCTTTCAATAGCTGATAGAACAAGCAGACCAAAACTTCGACAAGGATAGAGAAAATCTAAACACAATTACCAAAACTGACATAATTGACATACTAACACAAATGCATCCAACAATGATGGAATTCAGATTCTTTTCAAGGGCACATGGGCCATTTTCCAAATTGACTATACTTAGGATCAAGGAAGCCTCAACAGACTTCAAAGATTGAAAACTTCAGAGCATATTTTCTGACCACAGTGAAATTAAGCTAGACTTATTAATTAATAACAGGGGAGGGCGCCTGGGTGGCTCAGTTGGTTAAGCGACTGCCTTTGGCTCAGGTCGTGATCCTGGAGTCCCGGGATCGAGTCCCGCATCGGGCTCCCTGCTCAGCAGGGAGTCTGCTTCTCCCTCTGATCCTCTTCCCTCTTGTGCTATCTCTCTCATTCTCTCTCTCTCAAATAAATAAATAAAATCTTTAAAAAAAAATAATAACAGGGGAGAAAAACCTACAAAATCACCACCTACTTGAAAATTCAAGAATATACATCTAAATAATTCATAGGTGAAATAAATTCCAACAAAAATTAGAAAAATTTAAAACTGAATATCAATAAAAGTACAAAATATCAATACTTTGAATGTAGCTAAAAATAAATGATTATAGCAAAATTGAAGTATTAAATGTATACATTAATAAAGAAAAAAGTTTAACATCTATGATCTAAGTCAGCTTGGGAAGATAGAGAAAGAATAGCAAATCAAGCCAAATAAAGTTTAGGGAAAGAAATTTTTGAAAAGTAGAAATTAATGAAATAGACAAAGACACACAATAAAAATAAAATGTTAATAGATTTAATAGAACTCTAGTGAGACTGATCAAGAATACAAGAAGAAAAATCCACACAAACAATAAAATGGAAAAGTATACAACACTATGGACTCCACAGCTGTTAGAAAGTATTAAGATGACATGTTTTTCCCCAGTAAATTTAAAAAATGGGATGAAATGAACAGTCTTTAAAAAAATACAACTTACCAAACTGATACCAAGAAAAAATACAAAATCTGAATAGTCCTTCATCTATTATAAATAATAAAAATAATTAATTTTAAAAAACTTTTAAAATAATAAAAATAATAAAAACATTAAATAATCAAAGCAATATTTAAAACAATAATTAAAAAAAAAACTTTTTTAAAGCTCCCCACAAAAAACCCCTCCAGGGTCAGACAGTTTTACTGGAAAAATCTTTCAAACGTTTTAGGAATAAAGAACACCAATCTTATTTAATCTCTTCATTTTAACAAGTCAGCACAACTGTGATATAAAGTATAACAAGAATAATACAGAAAAAGAAAATTATAGGCAATTTTTTTATGAACATAGATTCAAAAATTCCAAATACAAAGTCAGCACGACTGTGATATAAAGTATAACAAGAATAATACAGAAAAAGAAAATTATAGGCAATTTTTTTATGAACATAGATTCAAAAATTCCAAATACACACACGTATGCATATTATAAATAGAAAATGATGCTATATTAAAAAGATAATATATAACAACCAAGTGGACTTATTAAAATCAATCAATGGCATAGATCTCATTATAGATGAAGAGAAAAATTATACTTGGATGCAAAAAAAGGCAGTGGGTAAAATTCAAAACCCATTTGTGTTTTTAAAGATATTTATTTATTTATTTATTTATTTGTCAGGGAGAGAGACAGAGAGCACAAGCAGGGGAGGGGCAGAGGGAGAGGGAGAAGTAGGTTCCCCCCTGAGCAAGGAGCCCGATGTGGGACTCAATTCCAGGACTCTAGGATCATGACCTGAGCCGAAGGCAGACGCTTAACAGACTGAGCCACCCAGGCATCCCCCCTTTGTGTTTTTAAAAGGAAGAAAACTCTTAGTACACTGGGAATAAAAGGGAACTTCTTCTTTTAGAGCTATAAAATACATAGTAAATATTATTCTTATTGGTGACATATTGAAAGTTTATGCTTTTATTTTGAAATTGAGAATAAGATAAGTATGTCTACTATCACCATTTATATTCAATACTGTAACGAAGGTGCTATTCAGAATAAGGGCAGAAAAAATTTTAAAAATATAAATATATTTATACATATAAAGAATATATATAAAGATTAGAAAAAATATATTAAACTGTCATTAAGCATTTCAACATGGTTATGTACATAAAAGGTCATTTCAATAAGCCTGTGACAAACATTTAAAAAATGAAATGCAAAATGTCACTTACACTAACATCATACAATGTCAAATACATAGGAGTAAATCCAATGAAAGATGTGCAAGGCCCTACACTGCAAACCATAATACATCACTAAGAGAAATTAAAGACCACCTAAAAAAAAGGGGTTGGGGTGGAGAGGGAGAGATCCAC